CCCTCCTCCTCCCTCCTCCTTTTATTTTCCACAGAATACCTGCTCCAGAATTCATTACTAAGAAAGGAAAATAGCAAAAGTACAGAACGCCCCTCCCAAGACGAGCAGCGCCGTAATTTCTTTTAGAATAGTTTATTATAATAGTAGCTGCTGTTTAAACCGCATATCACGCTCCGAAACTAGCCATAGATATTCTGAGTTATGGGCAAAAGTCTGATTTCAGGCGAGACTCCAACTCGAATTTTACGCTGATTGAGCGAATGCGCTAGTCATTATGTCACAGGAGCCGCCTCTTACTCTCTGAGCTCAGAGCGGCTTTGTCGCGTAATGGACAGCGCACTCAGCCGGAAACGTCAGTTTCCTGGCCTGAATAGGAAAATTCAGGCCTATAACTCAGCATTCTTCTGATAATCAAAAATAAATGTTTTCGTTATTTGTTTGTTTATATGAGGGTTTATGTGTATGCTTCCATTGAATTTTGACAATTAAAAATTGAATTTGCAGGAGCCAAGTATCGAGCCAAGTGAAAAACATGAACCTTCAAAAGTAACTAAGACTGAACTTGAACCGATCCCAGATGAACCATTCTCGTTTATTGACGAGCAACTTCAATCCACCACCGTAGCTGCACGCTCTTCCCCATGTCCTTCGTCTGAACAGCCCCTGCGTAGATCGGTAAGTCGCATTTGTGAAGTTACCAAACACCAGAGTCAGAAATTTATTTCATTATTCTTTGACTTGGCGATGTTGCGCCACTTACAGCGCCCAGATGCCGTGATGCAGGGAATTGAGGATCCTTGTGGTGAGGTATCCATGCACTGGGAAGATGAAGAAAATGAGCCTTATGAAAAGGAGAAGACATAGACGTTCAATCAAACATCTTCTCCTTTCAGGTACCACTACCTCCGACCATTCCAAAACGGAAACGTGTGCAATCACTGTCCGCTACAGAAACCATCTCGCCATCAAAAGATGTTCCAAATAAGGAATCGGAGCAAAAAGAGAAGAGGTGCTGTCTTGAAATTTCATTATTCAACAGCTAACTTCATCTTTTAGCTAATTTTTGGGCCGTCTTGCACAGGCATTCACCAGTCATTCTGTTATTTGATGTTTTCAGTGTTCCTATTCTTCCTGAAGAAGAACTGCGGAAGAGCGCGTCTCCATCCGTACCACTTGAGACCAAGGTTGGTATTTCTGTCCAGTGTGAGCTTCAGGTTTACGAAGAGCTGCTTGAGCTAAACTTCGTATGAACCACTAACTTGAAGGCATGTCTCCCATTCATCTAATATTTTCCCCATAGGCATAGAAGATGTGTCACATTCACGGCTCAAAAATACGTGACAAGGAGGCTACCCGCTTGCGATAAAGGCTGTGCTCCGCCCATTACCCTTAAGTCACACCCATCGTTCAATTCTGACGACTACTGATGGTGCAGCTGTTCCGCTTACAAACTCTTTTCAATCCAGTTGGGGAGAGATGTGGAGAGGGAAAAGAGATTATATCCTAATAGTAGCAACAAGTGAGAACTCGTCCATGCACCCTTTCTCCCTCGTACAAGCCAGCACCGGCAGGCTCCCTACATTGAGCGATTTAGTCTGTTTTTGCTGCTTCCTTCTCATTTATGAGTAACCTAAAGCCTTGTCATTAGGCAATTTGATCACTAAGTCCCACCATTCTTGGCTGCGGGACGTGCTTCAACGTGATGGGTTGTATTTATGTTAGTCGGTTCCCATGTCTGTCTGTCAGTTTGTAGTATTATTCGTGGTTGTGGTAGTGGAAAACAACTACTAGCAAAATGAAAAACCGTTGGTATTTCACTATGTGAAGACCCCCGACTATACTCATTAGCTGTACAGGTACCGAAGGGTGTTAGGATAGGACAAATGGTAAAATTTTTCTGTAGGTGAGCAGGTGGGGAGAAGGCGGGAACTGGTTTGGGAAATGCGACGGCTGTTAGCGGGAGGAAATGTTAAAAGTATAAGGCTGTGGTTTAGACAGTCTTCTTTTTAATTAGATTTGCTGAGCGCTTCCGGGTGGTCCGCTCACGTTCTAATTATCATACGAGAAGGACCATACTTACGTAGGGCAGCAGCCAAATAGAAGTTGGATTAAAGCAATGGATCAGAAGATTTTGGCATTGAATACATAAAGCCTCATATAATTCCTCGGCTTCCCCAATCGAGCCCGCTTGAGAAGGACGCGAGAAGAACCTCTACTCGCTATTATCAGAAGCATAAGGCACAATAATTTACTCGGTCTAAAACGGCAGCAGGGCTGTCTTGGGGAAATGGCGAAAACGAAGTGAACGGTCAAAAGTCTGCAAAAAAAGCTCTGCGCGACTCAAAAAGCGAATTCAGACGAGCTTCCCGTTGGCATCGTGCCATCACCGCACACACTGAAGCCGCTTCATATCAGTCCCTTCGCTCTATATTGTACATCGCAAATAAAGTGACACGAGGATCAGGCATCAGTCAGATATCTGTGGGCGGGCGGGCGCGGTGGGCATTCGGTTTGTTATATTGCAGCCTGGTGGGCATTCGTTTGTTATATTGCAGCCTGATAGGCGCTATAGAGGCACCTTTCCTGGAAAAGGCGCCGCACAGCGCATGCTCAGGTGCGCCAAATTAGTCCTGCTAGGCGTATTAATCCCACACGTCTTCAGGATTTAGCGTGCCTTTTGCCTTAAACTTCTCGAGAAAGTACGAGAAGCAACGGTCAGCAATCCGATACACTAACGGTGCTGAGGACTGGAGCTGGAACAGACAACAGATGTTCATGATTAGCTATAATTGGGCCGTATTGCGCGGCGAATTTGCAGCAATTTGTGGTGTGCCTGCCATGCCTTCTAACGGAATATAGTTTTTTCATGACCATGCCTTATCAGACGAACATTGTTCAACAATTGGCACTGGCAAGCTGATCAGAATCTGGTTGATCTGGTTGTGGACCCAATTGCTCAAATTTATCACAAATCTTTGTTCTGTCTCATCTATAACCACATGTTCTTGATTTTAATTGTAATTGAGTAGTGCAGTTGTTGTTCAATGTTTGACGTTGTAGCTTTATTTGTTCGTTATTTGTTCTGAGGGAATATTCTGTATTAGTGTCCAAATTGGTGAGCCGTTTTTGTTGTACTGCTTTATCGAGAGAGGTGAAACAAAAGTCAGATCCACGCGAAATTCAAGGCACTTCTGTGAAAAAGCCGAGGTATGTACCAGAATGTTATTTAGTCGATTTTTTTCCTATTAAAAATACCGCTTTCAGCCACCTGCTAAAGAACCGTTTGTACGTCCTCATGGGTTTGATCGTGGTTTAACGGTGAGCCTTTTCCTCTTTCACCTTTACTGATCTAAAATGGCCGAGTTTTGCCGAAGGCTCAGCGTGCGATCTCCTATTCTGGGCGATCAGAATTTCACAGTTTTAAAAATAGTGTGGCGACATTTGTCCGAGATCTTCAAGTTTTCAGGTCGAACGCATTCATGGGTTTATTCGACGGGCTGACCTCTTGTTTGCCGTCGTTCAGTTCAAAAATTGTGACGTAGTTGAAATTCTGGCGACCCAGATTGTCAAGCATTATGAGCCAATGGTAAGAAATCCATCAGTATTGTTTATGAATAACCAATAAAGTTCTTGGATTCTCACCGAAATTGTAAAAAGTGGAGTTCTGGGGATAGTCCCCTCGGGGTACGTCCTGCCGTCGGGGAAAAATTCCGGACAGTCCGATTTTCCTCAAAATTTCCCCCTCTGTTAGGACCCTCTTCCCATCAATCTCCCATCCTACCTACCATATTCCTAAATCATCTCAACTTCCTAGCAGTTTCCGGGGGAAATTCAAGTTCAGGTAGTCCAGTTTTCCTCATAAATCTGTAGGCCTTCGGGGTGGATGGGGGAGGGGGAATAGCGTTTTGAAACAACAGAAACAGAGAAAAGCCAGCAAACGAAAAAATTTTTTCAGTAGCAAAAACGACCCCCCCCCCTCCCTCCCTAGGGAATGTACCACATGAACTGTTTCCATATTACTGCCAATGATTTGAGAGCATTAATCCTCTGATATCTAAGGCTTTGATCCGTGGCTTCGAAGAGCATCATATCCGATCTCGCAGAAATGCAATTTTGTCGTCACCTCAGCCAGGTACTAAACAGCAAGTGGTAGGGTAATTTTGGTCTTATGTATCCAGTGGCTGTTATTCTTATAGTTCATTATTATATGCACTGAGTTTCTGATTGTATCATTTCATCCGTACCCATATCTATGTATCATTTCATTCGTGCCCAATTTTACTATTGTTCTACCTAACAAAATTACCTGTGCTTTCACGGTCATGTAATATTATCTTTCTTGAATTCACTGGTTCAACTCACTGTTTTGGGTTTTGTCACTAACTATTTGTCACAGTTAATGTCTCTATATAAAGCGTTTTTCGTGTCCGAGGGCCAAAAATGGAACTGAACCTTGCAAGGAGACTGAATTTTAGAGGATTTCTCCCAAATGGTAGCAACAGTGCGTAGGTAATGTGAAATGATGGTCATAAAACCGCGAACGTGTAGCCGGCTTGAGGGAGCAGGGCATGGCCAAAAGATTGGGGGGGGGGTCGGAAGGAGGTACAAAGATACAGAATAATCGGGCGTGGTATCGGCAGACAGACAAGGCAATAGCAATCGGTGGTGCGCGGTAAGTTCTAGATGGGCATAATTTTGTCGAGTGAAGCAGCGAAACCAATGTAAGTTCAAGCAGAGGCAAAACTCAATTCCGAGTGATACCGATTTTCTATCCCTTCTACAGTTCGAACGGACAGGCCGAAGAACTCGTCTTTCGCATGCGCGGCGTCGCTCGCCACGCCCAGCGCGACATATTACGTCTGCTGCGCCCTACACCCGGTGGTACCTAGCCGCTGTGCAGGGAGCGATTGTAACAGAAGTGACTAAATTTTCGCAATGTGAGTGAAACTGAAAACCTCTCACCCATCTAAACTCTAGGAACATGTTGGATCGCTGGGTCGCAACATATAGCGAAATTTGAAGGGGGGGGGGCAGGTGTATTTTGCAGAAATTGAACCAACGAACGTGCCCCGATTGCAGTGATGCAGATGTCGGGTTTCCAGCAGCTCAAAAACTCTCCAATTATTCTCCAGTCTCCATTATGAACTAGGAAGCCATCAAAGACACTGTGAAATCGTTTGGCTCAAGTTGGCGCTGTGCGTCTTGGGCAGGTGGGAGGGGTATTTTGCACATAGTTCATGTTAACTAACGAGACTCACTCTGATGGGGCTATAAACTCTCATGGAAAGCTTCGCCTAAGTACACAAGCCAGCCTGTTTCATTTTCGAGTAAAATATAGAGGTCTTCCACCGTTGCCTTACAAGTCTAGCTGAAACTAATAGGTGCCCCGAACTAAGCCCAGAGGTCTTGTCTTTCCACATGTACTCTTTGTTTAGCGAAAGATCATAAATGAAGAAAATCATAATCACTGAAAGCACAGAAACTCACATGCGAGTTCCAAAATGTCCATCCAAAGGTGAAGCCCTGTTCCACTTCCTCAAACGACGATTTACCGTATAAAACTGTTCTGCAGTCCAAAAGAGAAGCCCTCCCCCCCCATTGCAGTCTACTGCCGATTTGTGGGGTGAAGCAGGAAGACAGGCGGTTCTATGGCGAGCTGACGAGCCCGCGCCGCTTATTTCTAGCCTCTTCTTCAGAATTCCAATGGCATGGACTGTTGCAGCCATTAGACAGCAAGCTTCGTGCGCAAGGCCTGCGACACCCTCTTTTGCCGGGAGTGGGGGAGAGGGATGACCCTCCCTGATGTAACCGCTTAGCTTCGTTCCTCGTGAAGTGAGCGGAGGGGTAGATCTACCATTTGCAGGCGAATGTGTTTGCGTACTCCATTTGAAAATATCACACTATAGTTCTTAGGTCCACTTTAAGCGACTGTCGTCCTCAGTCGTGCTGACAAAAACATAATCACGATTGTCGTGGAACAAAAATACCCTCCCCCTCCTCACAGATACACAATCGGCCGTCAACGAAGTGAGCCGCCACGCTCATGCTCCATCTTTAGGATATAGGACATGTAACTTTGCTACCCATATCTGACGCAAGTGTGACTGCGCCTGCACCGCACCCATTAGAGCGAGTATTAGCATGATGCCAGCGGAAAACTTGTCTGAATCAGCTGTCTCTACCGCACACTCTGCCACCCGAGCTTAACAGGGATCCTATCAGAGCCTTCGGACCTTTTCACTTCGCTCTTTCTTCTTTTCCTCACTATTAAGCAAATCTGCTGCTATTTTAATCCGGTAAATGAATTATGGTGTCAATCCACTCAAATGAAGATAGATTTCCAAAACAAAACATAAGCTTCCAAAACTGCAGCCAGGCGGTATCTCCCTCGCAACAATGTTTCAAAAAAAGGCACATTGCTCCAAGTAAGTTTTCACTAGCAACGATAGCGCCATGCTCTAGATGTGCTACTCTGTATGTTAAAATATTTATTTGTTACCAATATGTTCTTCACAAAGGAGAAAATGTATGGTACTTTTAATGGGGTGACAAGACAATCGTAACAGGGCGATATGGGCGAGCGACGCCCCCAACGTGCGAGTTGTTCTGCTCTGAACTCTGAGCCTGAGTACTAAGGGACACTAAAGCTTCATGGAGGTTAGTCTCATGGCTAGATTGGATTCATATGAGTTTCGGTGCCCAAGTCGTCAAACAGAGCACATCAGCGGCATGATCACGCCCGCGCGCGACAACATTACGATGTCCTGTTCCGTTTCCTATTTTCAACGTACCTTTGTACAGCATACATAAAATACAGATTCAGTTCTTAACAAAGAAATCAAGAATGGACAACAAGGAAATCAAAAAGCTAACATGGAAATCAAAAAGTGATAACGATTAAATCAGAAACCAATAACAAGAAAACAAAGAAAAACGGGCAAAGTTGATCAAATATATGGCGGGTAAAGAAAGGAGACTTAAAGACACATCCCGCGATCACCTATGGGTGAAATGTTTCTTTGCAAAGATAGTCCAGGCCTTATTCAGCCAAAAAAACTGCCCAGCTTCGCCTTTCGGCATTAAAGAAGATGGGAGCGCTTAGATCCTCGTGGGCCTAGGAAGGCATCCGAAAAAGTTGTTTTCCACCTTCGAGCACAAGTGGGACGCTCAATGTTTCATTCTGTGTAGGACCACATCTTGGCGCCTCGCTTGTCTTTCTATACTTGCAGCGTTTGTCTGTGGTCTCTTCCCGCGTAGACTCGTCTCGCTTCATCGAACATTTGTACTATCCTACGCCTTCTTTAGAGCGTCTTTGACTATTTTACCCACTCTATTCTCAACTGGTAAGCCGAGTAGCACATGAGAATTCACATTTGGGCTCATACCCTCCAGTCAGCATCAGGGTACTCAAGTTTAGGCCCGAAACACCCACGAACTGGGATTCCGAAACATGTCTTTAACTTCAAATAACCTGATATCTGCAAATATATCTCTCTTATTAATAACAAATCTAGGATCATATGAATACATGCCGTAATTAACAAGGAAACATTCAAATATTAAGCCTCAGTGACATAATCCAACGGAAAGACCGGTATCTACAAGGCTGCAAGTGTACCCTCGTAGCGATGAACTGCCTACTAACACTCCTCGGTCACTGCCTTCACATTCGAACTGCAAAATAATAGCATTTGATGTGAGAAATTGATTAGAAAGGCAGAAATAGTTCAGAACCAACCGTAGCACTTCAAAATCCGCTCGTAGCTGTTTCTCAATTGTCACCTTCAATTCGTGAATCATAAAAGCGTCGTTGTTAAGTTGGTCGTGGAAATCATATCCAATGATGATGGCGGCTTTAACAAAATGTCTTTCATTGCAGGGCTCATGAAAAAAAAATTGTCAAAGACTCACAAGCTATTCCTTCGACAAGTATCTGTGGAAACACATCAAGTTTAGGCGGACAGTGGGCCATCAACAGCGGAATCACTCGCTCTTGGTAAAGCTGAAACATAACGGTGTTCATTCTATAAACAGTCGGATCGCCAGTGGTTGATAGGTAGCAATGATGAGGGTCAATGAGATGAGTAGATCCTCACTGAGGTGCTCTGGAACCGAGTTATAAGCCGCCGACTTTGGCCCCGCTCTCCTCGGTGCACGCTCTGCCCACTCCGGGCTGTCTCTCTTCCAACCGCCGACCCCACCCTGATCTTACGCAATTTTCCGCGGCGTCTGGGATGCTCTGGAACTATTTTACGACTTTTTGATTCCAGCTCCGTCCACCTCGATGCACGATCCAGCCGCACCACCCGAGTATCTCCCACCTATCCACCGCTGACTCCTGGTCAACCTTAACCTATTTTTTCCCGATTTCCGCAGTGCTCTGGTACTGAACTACAACTTCCTGAAATAAAAACCATGCTCGAAGCACGACCCACCCACTGTGGG